ATAAATGGATAATTTAAATAGAAATATGTAAAAACATACAATACAGAACAGGATATGTAAATGCACTATTTAATACTTATGGCAAGTATTACAAAATTTTATAATAACATTGGATAAATATTAAAAAGTAATTCTGTTTTGTTTTAAATACAGGTGCGTATCTTCTGCTAGAAGAAAAGTTCAAACAGATAAATTTGTCTCCGTAATTTTTGCGATAATCGCAGATTTGTTACTAAGAAAAAATTGTGCATCTGTTTATTATTAAAATTGTTTATTATTCATAGAGAAGTACATGAATATTTTTATTCACAAGAGAGATACAGTTTGCGTGTTTATAATACATACAATCGTTTACAATTTTTAGTCTTGTTTTTTTTTTGCTTCGAATAGCTTCCCTGTAAAAAAGGAGAATAATTTACCCTTCCAATCCTTTTCGATGCGTTTCAAAATTAGTCTCTTCGTGGAAATATTGTGAAGTGGGCCGAATGCTAGCGCAACAGCTGTACAGGCAAGGCATATAACATTATAAGGCATACTGAAATCAGGAGTCGGAAGACTAATAAGCAAGGACTCTGTCCGTAATTGTATTAGATAATCATCCCTCGAAGCATTAAAACTGTAAGTTTAATAATCGATAATCATTTCAATCATCGCCTACCTGTTATCATAAACACAAGAAAAAATTTTCGTTTGTGTTGTTGCTTAGCAAAAGAAACAATTGCGAAATAAACGAACCTTGAAGTAATTGTACTTCCATCGAACGGCAAAGCGGTGTAATTTCTAGCTATGGGCAATAATGCTGTAATTATAGCTGGTCCCATGTAAAATCCATGATTAGCGTCCGGTGGATATTCCTGCCACTTGAGGAATAAGTAATCCATATCAATGATGATTTTCGTTACCGAATGCGGCGGCAGGCGCAGGATTAATTCTAAATAGTATGGACTTTTCCTCTCCCTTCCAGGTAAATAACGTTGCGCCACTGTAATAATAAAAAATGTACCAACGTTTAATCATGTTGTAGTTTTCATAATAATAAAACGTTTTTTGTAAATTTTATTGATCGTCTAAATCATACATATTCTATAGCGAATAAATTTCCTGGCAACTTCATTTATCTTACATTTATTATTTTATGTTAAATAATAAAAATAATATTTATATATATATATTATTTTATACTTACATGGACGTACGTGTTGCTCATTACAGGTTATCGTAATGGAATGTAAATAAACCAGCAAATACCATGGAATATTTTCTAATAAGATTATATCTAATGCTTGCCAGTGATTGTTGTACAGTTTAGTCACTAAACTGCCTCTTTCTTGACCATATCCTGAAAAATTGCATTAATATATATGCATTAATTTAAATTAATTAATTTAAATTAATTAATCTATATGAATATCCATATCGATTAAAGGAAAAGGTAGACTCTTGATATAATATTTATTTAAAATTCTGTAATATGATTTTTTGCAAAAGGTTTTCAATCTGTTCTTAGATATCAAAGTTGTGAAACAAAAATATTGCCACAACTGACATAATATTTTTCTTGACAATCGATATTCATTATGATGTATATCAAAATTTTTTCATATAATCTTCAATACCGTATGATTTTCAAAATTTAACTTGGTTTAAAATTCGTGAATTTATAAATTAAAGTCTGTAAATTAAAGTGCTATTTTTTTATTTTGAGAAGAGGTAAGTTTGAATAATTATATTTTCATATTTGGGACATAATTAAATGTAAAGTTTGTTAATGCTTTTATATTTGGGTCTCTTACCCTGATAGCAAGTCTGTGGAAACAGATTTTGAGCAGGGCCTGCTACAAATTTTTGATTGCAGAAAGACAATTGTACTCAGAGTTTATATTATCTGACATTGTCAGCAATTTGCTGTCAGAAATATGACAAAGCCTACAGACATGCTTTGTTAGCAGATTGGTAGCAGAAACCAAACAAGTCTTGCATAACCTAACCTAACCTAACCTAACCTAACCTAACAGCAGATTGAGAGCAGAATCTGATTTCGAGCAAACTCTGCTCGATTTCTGTCGAATCTACTGACATAGCAACGGTAATCATATTTTCTTAAAGAAAATAAAGAAAAATTTGAAATTTTAAGGCTTTGTTCTTACATGTTTTCAAACTAGGGGGTCAATTGTGTATCAAAATAAAATTATTAGGTATACAACTTTGCTTCCACCGTTTTCCTATAGATGGCTTTAGCGGTAAGTGGTGGTCGAAATAAATAGATCATAGACGTCATACAATAAACTTGGGCATCTGTCAACATAACTCCATAGAAACATTAGTCGATTTGTGTCTGCATCATAAAGTTATTCTCGATTGAAAATGTCAGTTTACGAGCCAAATTCTCGTCATTTGCGGGAGGTTTTAATTTTTTGCTTCAATATGAAGAAATCTGCGGCTGAGGCTCATCGAATGCTCTCAAATACTTATGGTGAGGCCACTATTATATTAGTGAAAGAACATGTCGTGAGTGGTTTCAACGCTTCAAGAACGGTGATTTTGACATCCAAGGTCATGCTCTGTATTTGGTGGGACCAGCTCGGCGTAGTGTATTATGAACTGTTAAAACCGACTGAAACAATCACAGGCGATCGGTATCGAACGCAATTGATGCGTTTGAG